TTACCCAAAGTTTTAAGTGTACATACTCTCTAATTCAGCAACTCCACCTCTAAGAATTCATCCCAAAGGTAAGAGTGTGCATGAGCAGAATGGTATATATTCAAGGAGCCTCAGTTATAATTGGAACATATTGGAAATTATTTAAATTTTTATCAGTAGGGCACTGGCTAGATGAATTGAGGCACGTCCATCCAGTGGAGTGTTCTACAGAAACAGAGGCAGAATTATGCCAACAATACAAAGTGACCTCCAATATATATTTTAAGTGAAAAAAGTAAAGCAGAGAACATTACGTATTGTGTGCTTCCAAGTAGGAATTATTTGTGTGTGTGTGTGTGTGTGTGTGTGTGTGTGTGTGTGTGTGTTTGACACTTAATTGATTTGCTAGTATGTCCGTGGACTCTCTGTGGAAGAATTCACTAGAAACTAGAAGCAGTCCTTGCTTCTAGGGAACGACAGGGGTGAGGGGGAGACTTAGTTTTAACTATATACCCTTTTCTACCTTTAAATTTTTGATTTATGTGCATTTAATACCTATTCAAACCACTTTAATTTGTAAAATTAAGAGCCTTCCCTGATAAGGCTGTCTAGGAACAGCTGTGTCCTCAAGCATTAATTTGGAGTAGGGGAAACAGCCGCCACTGACCAGCAGCCAGGGTGGCAGGTGGGACGTGTCTCTGCTGGAGGCTGGGACATTGCAGGGACACTTGCTTGTCCTCTACTCCGAGGGGCCTGCTTCAGAGGGAATCTGGATCAGCAGGACCTCAAAGACTTCAGACTGCCCCTCAGAGAATTTAAGTCTCCCTGTTCATTAACTTTTCCCAATTATGGCCATAGAGGCTGCTCTTAAAACTTCTACAAAGGAAAGTGACCCAAAAGACAGGCCTGGAGACACTGGTGGATGGTTTCCCCGGCAACTACAATTCCTGTTGGCTTTTCATTATTAGCTTGAAAAGCAAAGGCTCATTCTGCATGTGGGGATCAATGGGCTGGGAGATGACCTCTCCTCTTTCCTGTCACCTATTCAGGAGGCAACCTCCCATTTCTGGTGGCTCTTACATCCATGGCTAAAAGAAATGGTGTTACAAACAATTCCTGTGGCTATTTGGGAGACAAACAATTGCTGTGGCTATTTGGGAGTCCATGACCCAGCCGAGGGCCAACCGATGGCTTTTCATTCACCGCTATATGTCTTGTGAATCCAGTCAACTAAACTAAGAGTTGTTTCCTCAGTGAACATGTACTGATCACTTAGCATGTGGCCAGGTTCATTCTTGCATTGGGAGAATAAATCATGGTTCCTGTCCTCTGGCGTACTGGCAGATGAGATGTTCGTACAGATGAAGAGTTCAGTTAAACATCTACTGAGGAACTGCTCTCCTTCCAAGCTCGGGGGTGCTGGTTACGATGTGTGTGACTTGGATTATCTCACAGAGACCTCAGCGGGATTGAGTCCACAGCAGTAACCCCCTCATTAACATGCACTTGATTTTCTTCTGTCTCTTCCCTGCTCCTTCACTCCTGCTTCCTTGAGATCACTCCCAAGTAATCTCCCTGCACCCAGGTGCTTGTCTCAGCCTTGCTTTTGTGAACGTCTGAACTGAGACAAGAGATTCTGAAGGAACTCGTCATTAGGAAAAGGAAACTGTTCACCATGACCACAGCTACTCTTACTTTTCTGTCAAATTGCTTCATGTAATGGCAGATGACATCGGCTATGTGGGCCTGTGGAAAATTCCAGGACAAATAATGGCATTTCTAATACAAGGTCAAGAGAAAACAATTCAAGATCCCAAATGGAAGCCTTCAAACACATTTCTAATCACAGCAAACATTCGCCTGACCTCCTTTAAATGGGGATCACTGTAACAAGTTTAAATTCCATGAATAATAAAGTAGGAGTCTCTAGTAGGTCCCTGGAAATTCCACTAAGTTTTGTACAAAAGCAAAATGGACATATATCTTTCAGATATTTCCCATGTCTTTGAGATACTACCTGGAAACGATCACATTCCTGTTTCAGGGACTGCTTTTGGGGATGCCTCCCCAACTCTGAACGGGACCTCACTAAAATTATTTTCACCACAATCAGATGGAAATTTCTAGATTCCAAACCAATAAACAGTCACAGGTTTTCTCTCGCCTCTACTCTCTCTCCGATGACACATCTGGATATGGTTCCCACCCTTTCAGTTCCCTGCATGAAGCTAGGGACCTTCCACATCATGGGGCATCTGAGTCCCAGCTGTGAGTCTCACTCAGTGATAAGAGGTTGGCTGGGGTTGGCGGGGGGCAACAGAGAGGGCTCTGCCCTTTTCTGTTCCTTTCCTGAGACAAGGGTAAAATTGGGGTAAAATTTAATTGCCATCTCACACTTGGTAAAATAGAAAAAGAACCTCCAAACAAGGTAAAATTCCATTACAACTTCCCTGGTCTTTATTTGTATTGAGAAGAAAAACCATTTCACCTTAACATGAGCAGTGAGGTCTACATGTCAAAGACCCTCACAGAGGGACCTCAAGCAGGGGTTTGCACGTGTTCATGCAGATACCCTGCCCAACCCCCCTCATACCCTCTCCTGCCTCTACTTTTCTCCTAAGCATTTGTGACCATCCATCACCTACTGCACCTGCTAATATTTTTCTTGTTTATTATCTGTCTCCCCAATTAGAATGGAAGCACCATAAGTGCAGGGATTTTGCCTGTTTTTCTCTCTGTTGTAATCCAACAGTGCCTGATCGACAGTTGGTATCTTCAGTAGTATTATCCTGAAATGAGACAAAAGCTTGGGGGCAGGTGGTTTATTTGGGAGATGATCCCAGATACCAGAAGTGAGGAAATGAGGAGAGGACAGACAGGACACAAGGAAAATTGTTCAATAAATGTTAACTAAATGGATGGAGGGAAGGGAGTTCAGTAACTGGCTTACCCTAAGGAAATTCTACAGCAGTGGGTCTCTAAGTGTGGTCAGGGAAGCACCACCAGCAGCATTAAGGAACTTGTTAGAAATGAAGGTTCCTGGGCTCCACCTCAGACCTACTTGAATCAGAGACTCTGGGAGGTGTTTGAACAAGCCCCTTAGGTCAGAGGTCCCCAACCTTTTTGGCACCAGGTACCGGTTTACTGGAAGACAATTTTTCCACAGACGGGAGTAGGGGTGGGCGGATGTTTCACGCGGTAATGCGAGTGATGGTTCAGGTGGTAATGCCAGCGACGGGGAGCCATGGGGAGCGGCAGATGAAGCTTCACCAGCTCGCCCGCTACCCGCCACTCACCTCCTGCTCCGCCGCGGGTCCTTAACAGGCCGCGGACCGTTAGCGGTCCGCAGCCCGGGAATTGGGGGCCCCTGCCTTAGGTGATTATGCTCTATAACAACTTTTGTGTTCTCAGACACGTCTTGGCCACAGTCACAAATCAAACGAGTTTCCCCAACTGAACTACACAGCAGCCTCGTGGGAAAACCACTGGAAAACATCTAATCTGCAGCTCTGTTTCAAAAATGTTGCCTTTAGATTGCAGAAATGCAGCAGCTTCTAGAGTTTAGAAAGCGGGACGGCAACCAGAGGCGGCTCCCTGCCAAGCTCCCCGCCCCTCGCCGGCTCCCCACCCACCTCGATCCCTACAGTCCCACCGTCCAGGGAGCTGAGTACAGATTCCCATTTTGAAAGAATCACTTCCAAATCTTTCTCCGGGAGGGAAAAAAGGGGGAGGAGTGGAGGACCCCGGGAGGGGACGAGGGATGGGTGGCGACCCCCAAGCCCCAGGATGGAAGGCCTCGGTGCGCTGAGGCTCCAGGGGTCTGTGGAGGAGCCTCGGCCAGGCGCTGCTCCTGTTCGCGCCTAGGTTGCCGACGGTGAAACGGGGTTGTCAGTGACTTCTGCAGGACGCGGCGAACTGGAGCACCAACTAGCGGACTCTAAACCAAACGGCTTCAAGGCGGAGGTGGATGTAGACCCCTACGGTGCACTAGCTGGGGGTCGCCTTGCTACGGAGCCAGGGACGCGACCGCGCAGGGAAGGGCGCACAGCGGCCGCGGCGCCACCCGTGTCCCTACCAGGTGGTTGAGTGACGAGGGGCGAGGTCCTTATTTCAGAGCCGGCGGGGACCGGGCCAGGTGTGACGGCTCGGGTACTCAGGGAAGGTGGGAGTGGCGGATGCCGATGCCACAGGGGAATGGGGACTGGGAGGATTTGGGGGACACTCGCTGGCGCCACTTGGCCACAAGGAGCCGCGGCCACCGCGGGCAGGAGGTAGCTCCGCTCGGAAGAAAACACAGCCCTTTCCCAAACTCCCAGTGGGGTCATGCTCATTTTACAGCTATGGGAATCGGGGCCCAGGACGCCAACAGCCAGCCGTAGCCGAGCCCTTTCACTGACCCGGGAACCCTTGCCCTCGGAATCCTGGAGAACTTCGAGGGCTTTTCATGCGGCTGAGAACAAAGTGAAGACCCCTCTTCCCTCCCCCCCGGAGGAAGCCCACTCTCGGGTCAAAAGACCAGAGCTGCTTGGGATGCTCCAAGCGGGGCCGACACTTCCTCCATCTCAGAATTACACTTTGCTGACACCCAGCCTGGTCTAGCGTCCCCTCCACCCGACCCCCAGTTTCCCTTCTGGCCCCTCTGGTCCCCCGAGCGGACTATAGGCGTGCGGGCAGCTTCTCCATCCCGGAGGAGGGTCCCCATTCCTAGGTCTCCCGCCCTGAGAGGGGGAGCTTCGAGCTGGAATGGGCAAGGGAGAGGGGGTGGGCCCGGCTTGGGGAGGACGCTCTCCCGACAGAGACAGGGCTGACGCCGGACACCCCGCCTGGGACAGGTTCACCCGGCTCCGCTGGGCCATTGCCCCCTCTCTCCCGGCAGCCACCTCAATCTTTTGTCGCCCCGGTTGCCGCCCTCTGACCACGTGTCGCTACCCGGCTGCGTCAGCGCTGGGTAAATAGATGACTGGCCAACGGCTCAGGCGGGGCTATTTTAAGAGGCAGCCTCCTGCCCGCCTACCGTGAACTTGCCTCGGCTCCCCCGCTGCTCTGGCAGGACCGCGAAGCCGGTCGCGTCCTGCTCCGAAGGTAGGTTCCCCGCTTTGGGGGATCCAGGTGCGAAGTGCCCTTCATCCAAGCGAACAAGGGTGTCTTCACTTTCGTGCCCCTTCCGTTTCATTTTTCTGTTTCCTGTGTCTTCTTTCCGACGGCTCGAAAGACATTTCTTGAAGTCGGAAAGGACAGTGCGGGTGGGTAGAGCTGCTTTAGGGACTTCTACTCGCCGGCTTTGTTCTTCTCTCGCGCAGGCAACGCTGGAGTATCATCTTTCTGTTTGCTCGGATTAGCATGTAAATTGCGATTTGCTAGATGTTACACATCGGGGCAGTCTACTTTGCAATCCTTTCAAATAAACCACCGAGAGGTTTTAAGATTTAAATTCATTTTATGAAGACTGCAGGGAAATTCAAGTCTTTGGGGGACAGAAACGTGCATGTTTTATCTGCCGGCGGATCTAAAATGCAGCGGTGCTTGGCTGAAGCCCGATGACTGAGCGCAGATTTCTGACTTTCTTTTAAAAAAAAATCTGCCTGTGCTTTGCGTAGTGGCTTACTGCCAATTCCCATGTGCACCTTGAAGAAACTTGAAAGATGTGGCTTTTATTTATTGCTCCCACATTTTAAACCGTGCTTCTTGGTTTTTCACCATTTATTTCCCTATTGGAAGCTTCTTAGCTCTCTGGAAAGGTGCTACTATTCCTCAAGGGTCTCATTTCTCCCACAGAGTCTTCTCTTTAGGATAATTTTCACCTATCTTTAATCTCTTGCTTTTCCAGTTAGGAGAAGAGAGACGACACTCTGTAACACTTCCTCAAACTAAAGCAAAACAGAAGACGTTCCTTCTGCCAAACAGGGCAGAGGACAGGATCTCTCTCCGCCCCCTGCACCACTGCCCAGCCCCGGCTGTGGTTCCCCAAAAAGACGAGCGCGGTGAGCCCGGACGCGCCCGCTGGGGTCACGGCTCCCTCGCGCTTGCACCTGCCTGGCGGGTCCCGAGCCCCGCGCGTTTGGACTGAGCCCCCTTCTCCGTACCTCGGGGGCCCGACCCTCCGCGAGAGCCCGCGGAGGCCCCACCTTTTCGTTCACGTCCCCTTCCCTCTGCTCCCCGCAGCCATGAACGGTGGCTTGTGCCTGTGCGTGCTGATGGCTGTCCTGGCGGCGAGCGCCCTGGCGCAGCCCGTGCCTCCCGCGGACCCCGCGGGCGCCTGGTCGCAGCAGGAGGACGAGGCCCCGCGGAGGCAGCTGAGGGCCGTGCGGAGAGTGGACGACGAATCCCGAGCGCACCTGGGCGCGCTGCTGGCCAGGTACATCCAGCAGTCTCGGAAAGGTACGCAGGCTGCCTCCCTGTCTCTCCCTTCTGCCTCCAGCAGGAGCTAAACAAGCCACACTTTTCTCAGCCTCAAAGTCTCTCTCCAGGAATAAGGTGATTCAGTAGCTCAGTAGCTAAGTGGCATATGGACAGCCCTGTCCCCTTCCTGGGCCTGGCTATCTCATCTATAAAAAGGGTATGAGGGTGGGGTTCCCCTCGGCCCCTTCCTGGTCTTTCTGAGATTCAGAGGGAGGCTCATTCATCTCTAGAATTCCTGGAAATCGTGTTTTGGACTGGGGCAGATTTTTTCCTACCAACTTTATCCACAGTGATACTGATGGTGAACACACTGACTGGGGAGCGGTATTTTAAACTGGACCAACACAGCTGGACAATAAAGCACAGCTGCTGGGAGGGGGAGGGGTGGGCTCCATTCCCATGAGGCTCTTTTAACCTGCTGGTGTGCCACGGCCTGGATTTGAAATTTAACTCATGGCTTGACGAGATGGGGAGAAAATAAAGGGCTTGGCTCTCCAGAATCTCCTATAATTCCATATGAAGGTGAGAAGGGACCTTTTTACCAGGGGATTTCAGAAGGAAAGAACAGAAGATGATTTGTTATATTTCATCCTCTCATTGGGAAATTGTCCCAACTACCATCTTCTATTTTGCTTTCCTGCTAATTAAACTGAAAGATGTGGAAATACTAGTCAGATGACAGAGAACATCTGAAAATTTGGGGGGTGCCTGCTGATTGTCTGCCTGAAAGTAGTTTAGTATCTGTCCTTGGATATGGGTTGAATTTCAGCCAGACCAGTCTGAAATATCGTAGGCTTTTCATTGACCATAATCTGCAAGCCCCTTCATACCTTCAAGAAAGATCCACCAGAAACAGTTGTGGGTAAAAAAGCCAATTACCAGATTATTTCCCTAGAACTGACATTCAACAGTGGCTTTAAACCACAAATCTTAGCTGGAAGGTCCTTCCTGGTGCCTCTTCTCAGCCCTTTGCCATCAGCCTGCCGTGACAAACAAACTCATACGGGAATACCCGTCACTTGGAACTTTAGCTGCCAACACCCAGGGTCAGCACTAACTAGAAAATAATCAAGCTCTTCTATTTGACAAATATGAACTAGAAATAAGTATCTACATCTATAGAGTTTCTTTGACTGTTTTACACATTTTGAGATCACAGTGAATATTTACTCAACTATAGTATATATTATGCTTAAAGATTCCAAACAAGATAACGCACCCTTTGGGGAGTGCTCAAGAGTTTATCATTAGAAACTGTCTGTAGAGCTTTCAATGACCTGAGGAGAAGCAATTCTATTAGTGTACACCTGCCCCAAGTCCAGCAAAGCCCAGGGCTACATCTGTATTGTCTCTCTTCATCCTCACAACAGCCCTGCGCAGTAAGGTCTATTATCCTCCTTGTGTCAGTGTGGAAGCTGGGATTCTGGAAGACTGAGTGACCTACATGAGGTAGCACATCTAGGCAGCATCAGGGCTGAGAGTCTACTCAAGTCCTGCCCTCCCTGGAACGTCTGGAAGCCATTCAGCTTCCCAGCTGTACTGCCTATTACGAGATTTAAAATTTCAAGGAGCCCGGACCTTCAGTTGTGTAAGTCAGGTGTAAGTGCCTACTCTGTGTCCACTAAGTGAGTGAGGACCCTGGTAAATGCACAGAACCATGTGTACGTCAGCAGCAACAGGCAGGAGGATGGGGCATATTGCCGTGTGACTGTGCACAGATAACTGGGTCTGAGAGTTTGGCTGAATGCAAGGGCTAATATTTCACCTGAAAGGAGTTGAACAGTCAAACAGCAGGGGCTGTTTTTCCTCTGCATAGACTGAGGATACCTGCAAAGGGCTGGAATGTGCTGGGGTGACGCTTAGTTCCAAAGCTGGGAATTAATGGGGCGGGGGGTGGGGGAAGAGAGAGGGGAGAGGAAGTAAGGGTGGGGATATAACCTGCTCTGTAGGGTTGTTTCTGGTTTTTAATTTAGCTAGCTTTATTTGATTATCCAACAAGACAGAATACCTGCTTCCGCACTGTCATCAATGAATAAGCCGTGGTCTGACTCGATGCATCCTGTGGGCAGGAGTTGGCAAGGGCAGCCTTGTACAGAAGAGCTCAATGCCAGCTGTGGGACCACAGTGGCTCCCAATACAACAGGAACCATCGAGTGATCTTCCACCCCTCTGCCCTTGAAGTCACCTGGGCTTTGCCTGTCGAGGTCCCTGAGGGACCTTTCTTGGCCCTTAGGCTGTATAAGAGAAGGTATGATACTGATTTTCTACACAGGAAACCACTCTGTGTGATCCGTAGGCCAGGACTGTCACATGCCTCATCATGGCCCTATCCGCTCAACGTGAATCATTCCTGGACTCATCCTGTTCCTAAGGACTTAACTCCCCATCCCTAAGGGCCCATTTCAGGTTCAGTTATTGCATTTTGGTCAAAATGGCTGGATTAAATTACCTCTTTGTTCTGTCCACCCTTCTTTGAGTGTTACTGAGGTGCTGAGATTTTAATCCGATGGTGTGCCTTTTTCTCAATACCATTTTTTTAAAAGAGAAGGTAGCTTTCAAATTAATAATTTTAAAACAGTATTTATCTAGCAGTGGGACTGGATTCCATTTTTAAAAAAACATCCTAACATCAAAATATCGTAATTCCATTACCTTAAAAAGACTCAGGGGGCTTCCCTGGTGGCGCAGTGGTTGGGAGTCCACCTGCCGATGCAGGGGATGCGGGTTCGTGCCCCGGTCCGGGAGGATCCCACGTGCCGCGGAGCGGCTGGGCCCGTGAGCCACGGCCGCTGAGCCTGCGCATCCGGAGCCTGTGCTCCGCAACGGGAGGGGCCGCGACAGTGAGAGGCACGCATAACGCAAAAAAAAAAAGAGTCAGGCAGGCTCAGGGATATTAAGGTGTAAACTTTAGAAGTGAGTAGTACTGGGGAAATTCTGCGTTAGCACCTGCTGAGAGCCAGCTACATAAAGGAAAACACCCCTAGGAGTAGAAAAACCTAGGCAGGTCCCAGCTGTCAAAGGTGAGAGTGAATGAATTCACCTAAATTCATACAGATCGCAAACCACACCCACGACTAGAAAAGACTACCATGTCTCCAGTTAAACAGACATGGGTCCTTCCCCTCGCTTAGATTTTGGCCCAGCAGTCCCACTATCTTGATACCTCTTTGATACCTTTCAGAAGGTACATGTTATGTATTGTCTGGCCTTTTCTATTGTTTTCCTTTACAAACTGAACATGTGATGCTCTTAGATATAATGGTCCCGTTTCCTTCCTCTCTGCCCCTTGTAGCTCCTTCTGGCCGAATGTCTGGAATCAAGAACCTGCAGAGCCTGGACCCCAGCCACAGGATAAGTGACCGGGACTACACTGGCTGGATGGATTTCGGCCGGCGCAGTGCCGAGGAGTATGAATACACCTCCTAGAAGACCCAGCCTTCGTCAGCGCAACAGGAAGCAAACTCCTGACTCAGAGGAGGCAGAATAAGAAAACAATCACGCTCATAACTCGTTGTCTCTGACGTCTGACATTTAAAGTATCTATTTATTAAGTGTTCAATGTGAAAAATCTGTCTGTAACGTTGTCCAATGCAACCATGCACCTTAGCAGAAATGTAACAAGTGGAAGACAAAATGTTTCCCTCATCTGTGACCCACACTCCCCGTTCCTAAAGTGTTGCTATGCTATTAAAGTGATTTCATTCTGCCCCTTATTCCCTGTTTCTACCGAGGGCAAAGGGTCCTTTAATCCTCAGAACATTCAAGGAGGGATTCCTGATGTATGTGGCTCAAGGAGGAATCCCTGTGGTAGATGGTCCCAGAAAGCACTTGAGAAATGAGGGTCAGGCACAGAGCTGGCTTCTCTACTTCAGGCCAGGTAGCTAGTGAAAGGGCCTTCTGTGTCAGCTCCACGGCCCAGCCCTGGCCTCCCTGGGCCCTGGGCCCCAGTGGGGCACCATTGCAAAAATAACCTGCCCAGCTTATAGTGCTACTCGTTTGTCTGGGTGAATCCCAGAGAGGCAACTGGAGATGGAGGTTTCCATCAGCCCATCCCCACGGGGTGCTCTCATCTGCCAGCTGCATCCCACACCAGGGTTTCTCTGGGGGTGCTCTTGGCCTTTAAACAAATAATGGGACAGCGCTGGTCAGCACTTTTATATGTATTGGACCTCTCCATGGCCCTGTGGCACAGAGGTTATTGTCCTTTTACAAATGAGGAAACAGACTCTGAGAGATGAAAGTGACTAGCCCGTGGTTCCCCAGCTAAAGAAATTCACAGACTTGTGGGCATATGGCTCCTAGGTTAGCGTGACCTCCATCGCTCTAGCACTTCTCAGACTCTGGAGTAGGTATGAATCACCTGGAAATCTTGATGAACTGCACATTCTGACTAAGCAGTTCTGGGCTGTGGTCTAAGCAAGCCCCCAGGTAATATCTGGTCCTGGACCACACTTGGAGTCACGACAGTATAGAAAAGAGTCTGTGATTACAACCCCTTGGGTTTCACCGTATTCCAGACATGTATTGCCGGGCATGTTCTGGGGGATGTGGTAGTTACCCAGAGCAGAAGCTCTCTTTTCGTGGCCCACTCCCTCTATTGGGTCTCTGCCAGGATCAGCAGAGAGAACTAGTCCAAAGGGATGTCCAGGGATCATCTAACACCAGCCATCACACAGCAGCCTTTCTGTACCTCCTGGCTGAGGCGCCCAGGAACCCAGGGTTTTATCCAGCAAAGGCCTCAGGTGGCCCAATGCAACAGGACATGCAGCCCCAAAGGGGACAGACATTGGAAAGACTGGTGGTCAGTTCAGTTTCCAAGGAAGGCATACTGCTGTTTGGTTCCATATCAGTTGGGCACCACCCAGTGACCAGTCTGGGAAGTAGATGGTGGTCTATGTGTTACTTTCGTTCTCAAAGTCTTTGATATGCTAATTAGGACCAGATTCAAGCTTGCATGGCTTGGGGTGAGCCCTGGAGTTCATGAAGGACTATATGCGGTTGCTTTCCTGAGCTACTCCCTTTCTATGATCTCCCCAGTACTTTCCAGTTCCCTGGGGCTCCTCTTTTTGGTCCTCCACCCAAAAACTTGGGGCTCTGGTTACCCTATTCTGCCACACACTGCCACGTTTGGGCCCATTTTCAGGTCCAAGTAGCAGAATAATAGAGAGAGAGAAAAAGCAATGGGGATTGACTCCACCCTCTTGGGATCACAGCTCCTCTGATCCAAGAAAAAGTTTCCCCTTCCTTAGAGTTTTGGCCCTGGCCAGGCTCATGACTGACTGCTACCACAGGCAGCTGTGGGTTCGCCTGGGGGCTGTGGCATGAAAGAAAGAGAAGAAAGAAAAAAACAGGGAATGTTCATGCTCTCTGGCCATTAGGAATTCCCTTTTTCACTCCTCGAGCCAGAACGAAGGGGCATCTCCTGGAGATGTCTGTGGCCCAGACCCCACTTCTGGTCCTCAGCTGTGTTAGGCTCAAGAAAGGCCCCACTCATAGCCTTCAGGGACTGTCCCTGCCTCCTCTCTGCCCACCAGGGCCTGGTAGTTTCTGCTGAAATTCTAGGATCTTGATGAAATATTATCTCAAGATGTGCTGAAATTTAAAAACCCAGTCATTCACAGCATCAGGCTGTTCTCTAAGATTGGGTGGCTTATTTTATTATCTTAATTTTGAATCCTTTACTGTGACTCCCAAGAGGCTTCTGGTTTGGAAAATCTCAAGACAGCACAAATGGGATTAGTGACAAGTGGGATGTTACATCTAATCAAGCTCCAAGACTAACAACTTTTCCAAACCTTTCCTTTCCATGGCTCACATGCTGGTCTGGGCACATGGAAGCAGGCAGAATTGGCAAGAGTTCAAGCCTTACCTGCCCTAACACCTCTGGACTGCAGCCAGAGTGACTCAAAGTGTTTGATCTTTTCCCAAGTTCCATTCTGGAAAGGATTCAGCTGCTCTCTGGTATCACCTCGTGTGGACTGTTACAAGCTCTTCACTAGCCCGACAACAAGCATGGAAACGCACCTGTGTGCCAGGCACTATGCTGATGTGGCAGGTACAGCAACCAAGAACTCCAGTGGGAGATTCACAAAAGCATAGTATAATGTTCCAAGAATGATGGCAGGTAAGATTCAGAGGCTGGGAGAGAGCAGCAGAGCTGGCTGAATTCAGGGGCAAGACAGCTAGGCAGCTGCCCCAGGAGCCAGACTCAAAGAGACATCTAATCATCACTGCAGCATTGGAATCTGGGTATCAGTGAAATTCTTCATACTTAGTAACTTAGCTAACTGAAGAAATGGGCATCGATTCCTCCTCTACAGAAGATGACAATGCCCTCAAGTGGACGGTTTTTTAAAAAAACCACTCCTGTGGGTGCCAGCTTCTCTCCATAGAGAAACACGTTGAAATCTGCAGGATTCTGTTTGCCAAGCGGCTGGTTAACCCACCTAGTCAGCTGAAATTTTAAAACCAGATAATTCAGGCCCTCAGACTGTTTATTCTAAGAATGGGTGATTTATTTTATCTTAACGTTGGAACTTGAATATGACTGCCAAAAGGCTTCAGAGCTTGGAAAATCACTCAATGAAACTGAAAAGAGAACAAGAACCACCGACAAATGAAATGCTTTTTGTAGAATTAAAACCAAGAAGAAAAAAAAAGGAACTCTTAGATGTATTTTGAAGATAACTTGGTAACTATGGTTACCTCTAATTAGTGAGCGCCTCATGCTTTCCAGATTTGAGTGGAGGAAAACTGAAGTGAAAAACAATTCCAAGTTATTAAAAATGTTACGTTCCAATGAGTGCATGTAATGTACTTTGGAAATATAATTTAACGTCTGTTGAATCCAGTAATTAAAAAGTTGGTCTTGGGCTTCCCTGGTGGTGCAGTGATTGAGAGTCCGCCTGCCGATGCAGGGGACACAGGTTCGTGCCCCGGTCCGGGAAGATCCCACATGCCACAGAGCGGCTGGGCCCGTGAGCCATGGCCGCTGAGCCTGTGCGTCCGGAGCCTGTGCTCCGCAATGGGAGAGGCCACAACAGTGAGAGGCCCGTGTACTGCACCAAAAAAAAAAAAAAAAAAAAAGTTGGTCTTGCATTTTGGATTTTTTAATTTTATTTTTTTCTGTACCTTATCATTATTACATGTTACAAAAAATATTGGCCCCTGATAGATCAATTTAAGAAACAAAACCAGGGGAGACCTTCAAGATAGCAGAGGAGTAAGACGTGGAGATCACCTTCCTCCTCACAAATACATCAAAAATACATCTACACGTGGAACAACTCCTACAGAACACCTACTGAACGCTGGCAGAAGACCTCAGACCTCCCAAAAGGCAAGAAACCCCCCACGTACCTGGGTAGGGCAAAAGAAAAAACACAGACAAAAGAATAGGGACGGGACCTGCACCAGTGGGAGGGAGCTGTGAAGGAGGAAAGGTTTCCACACACTAGGAAGTCTCTTCGCAGGCGGAGACTGCGGGAAGCGGAGCGGGGGAAGCTTCTGCGGAGGAGAGCGCAGCAACAGGGGTGCGGAGGGCAAAGCGGAGAGATTCCCGCACAGAGGATCGGTGCCGACCGGCACTCACCAGCCCGAGAGGCCTGTCTGCTCACCCGCCAGGGCGGGTGGGGCTGGGAGCTGAGGCTCCGGGCTCTGGAGGTCAGATCCCAGGGAGAGGACTGGTGTTGGCTGCGTGAACACAGCCTGAAGGGGGCTACTGCCGTCACAGCCAGCCGGGAGGGAGTCCGGGAAAAAGTCTGGAGCTGCCTAAGAGGCAAGAGACCATTGTTTCAGGGTGCGCGAGGAGAGGGGATTCCTTCCCTGTCTGCCCAGAAGGCAGAGCACTGCCTAAATGAGCTCCAGAGATGGGCGCGAGCCGCAGCTATCAGCTCGGACACCAGAGACGCTAAGGAGCATTTCACTTCCTGCAGCCACCAAGAAGCCTGTGTGCAAGCACAGGTCACTATCCACACACCCCCGGGAGCCTGTGTAGCATGCCACTGCCAGGGTCCTGTGATCCAGGGACAAGTTCCCTGGGAGAATACACGGTGCACCTCAGGCTGTTGCAATGTCACGCTGGCCTCTGCCGCGCAGGCTCGCCCCGCATTCCAATTATAACTACCGTACCCCACACCCCGCAGCATGAGTGAGCAAGAGAGCCCTAATCAGCCACTGCTTTAACCCCGTTCTGTCTTGGAACAGACCTTGGGGCCAAAACCAAAGCTGAACCCCAGGAGCTGTGTGAACAAAAAAGAGAAAGGGTAATTTCTCTGTGCAGCCTCAGGAGCGGCAGATTAAATTCCCACAATCAGCTTGATGTACCTGCATCTGTGGAATAGACAACTAATCACCCCAAAATTGAGGCGGTAGACTTTGGGAGCAACTGTAGGCTTGGGGTCTGCTGTCCATGACTGATTTGTTTCTGATTTTTATGTTTATCTTAGTATAGTTTTTAGCACTTGTTATCATTGGTGGATTTGTTTATTGGTTTGGCTGCTCTCTTCTTTTTTAAAAATTATTATTTCTTTATTTTAATAATTCTTTTTCTTTCTTTTTTTCTCCCTTTCCTTCTGAGCCATGTGGCTGACAGGGTCTTGGTGCTCCGGGCTGATGTCAGGCCTGAGCCTCTGCTATGGGACAGCCAAGTTCAGGACATTGGTCCACCAGAGACCACCTGGCCCCACGTAATATCAATCGGCAAGAGCTCT